AAAACCTAAAATTACCTTGAACATGGCTTAAAATGAGAAATCCGACAACACAAGAAACCACAAACAAAATAGTACTATATTTCATGACTAAAAAATGTTACACAAATCGTAGTATCTCTTAGTTGTAAAAACTTACTATTGTTTATCTTTACCAACAACACTCATTATAAATATACTCAAGTCTAAAACATGATAAAAATAGGGAAGACAAAATTAGCCAAGTCAAACGAGTTTGATGGGACCGGACTTTTAGGCTCTAAATGGTGACCATAAAGAATGAAAGGAACGGGAAAGAATATCACATTCCCATTCATTCCTAATCTTGCTTACCCTTTATATGTAATAAAGATTCCATGTAGTTCCTCTTCATTCCTTGCAGTAAGAGGGAACATAGAACAAAATTGTTCTCCATCTTATTTGACAAAAAACAAAAAGGAATAAATAATTGGTAAAAAATCTATTAACTTGAACACTATTAAAAATACTTATTCGCTTCTTTTGTTACCATTTATTAGGAAAACTAGGCCGATACCCGCGCATACGCACGGGTTTTCATTTCTCGTATGTGTGAGCTTTCTGTTTCATATATGCTTTCATCTAATTTGTCGGATATATTAACTTTGTGTTGACAATATGGTTTGTTCTTGTATACCTATATTTGAAAAACATTGAAAAATAGTTTGGAAAAATTTGTTAAATCTCAGTAACTTGAAATATAATAACGGATAATCATTTTTGCCGATGGTGTGTGTAAAAAAATCAAACCTCAAGAGTAATCCTAGAGTTCCATTGATCCTTGATCAGCTTCAGTGATACATATGATGGATTTTGCAATCAGCATGATCTAAGGTTTTGTGGTGTTTGAGTGTCCAAGTCATAACGAATTATCTGAAATCAAAAAGATAATTAAAGGTAGCTCGCTGATGTTACTCGCGTGTTACACTTCTACAACGAAATAAAATTTTGGTACTAAATATGAAGTGCTTTCGACATTTTTGGTTCTTGACGTTTTTTCTCATGTCTTTTTCTATTATCAGTATTTTTATATCTGATACGTACCAAGTTACTTGTTTCATACACAACATGCTATTAAATTTCATATGAAACTTAAATCGACAAAAATTAGCTCTCCGAGTTTATGGTATATAATCCATGTCATGGGGACCATTTTCTGCACTCAGATGTAGGAAGAAACTGACGATAACTGTATTATTTGGGTTGTATATGTGAGATGTGGTAAAAACTGAAAAAGGTTACTGCTGCATGAAAGAAATTGTAAATTTGGAAGGGAAACAGCAATGAATCCTAAAAACATCGAAAATTGTTGAATGGAAGGACAGAGAGAAGAAACAAAGGTGCACTCTTAAAACGATATTAGTCTCAAACCAGTCCTCGACATAACTGCAGAAGAAAATATGCATAAGAAAAAAAATCACAAGTAGAGAAATATAGACCGCTCCGCTCTCCTTGTTTGGTTTCCTTTTCAAATTACAGAACCACGAGATCCACAATTTATTACCACATTGAGATCAACTACTTATGATTCTGTGCTAGCTATTAAATTTAGCAGTAGAAGCCGCGCTAGAAAAATACCTCCTCATGGCGTTTTTACAAGACTAAGATGGTGAAGGCTACATAAATCAAGAAAAAATTGCAAATCAGTGGAATTTTGGCTCTACGAAAACAATCAATTAATTGTTGTCTCTCAACTCATAGAACGTGAATTTGAAGGTTGTTCAAGACGTAAGCGAGGCTATCACATGCATACGTGTGCGTATTAATAGAGCCGATAGAAGATTGGAGAGTCTAAAACGATAAGTATGCCTAGCACAGGTTAAATCTTTTCTTTTCATTCTCTTCCTGTCACCAGATCCCTGTTGGAACCATTTTAAGGTCGCAGTGGTCCATATTTTGGTCCTACATTCCCTTCATCCCAAATCACCCTAAAGAAACACAACTACACGAGCAGAATAGAGACAATACTTTAATATTCCTAAAACTACATAAGATAATTGGAACAATATGCTTAATTGACGCCACTTAGAAATTTAGATTTCTGGACTTTTTGAACATTTGCTTGATCGAAACCCACTATGTAAGAGTAGTGTACTTGAACATAACCTAGTCTGGAAAATGTCCAGAAAGCCTTTGGAGTCTTCTCAGAACCATCGCGATGACAAATTTCATAAGTAACCCGAAGTACACATTAACACCAACTACAAATCACCAAAGTAAGTAGAGGTGTGAGTGGCTATATATACCGTAGTGAAAGCGGTAATGTACTCTTGAATCCTGAGGATATTCAAGTTATCTTCTCCCTTCTCATTTTCACATTGTTTCTGTTTTTATGGATTTCACTCGTTCCTTTATCTGCACTTGAATATTGTTTAAGATAAATTAAAAGAAGGGGAAAAACGGAAAGATCAGTTATACAAGAATCTCTATGCATCCTATCTCGTGTTTTCATTATAAGTTCTCATTATAATGTCTAATAGCACAAATTCACAAGTATGAGATGATTTTAGAAGTCTCGCCTCAGGTTCTCACATACCTTTGACGTTCACTAACATCCTATATCGTTTCGCTTTCACCTTGTGAACTGGCTTCATCTCGTTGATCTGAAAACGTATATAACTCCCTATATACAAATATGGGCAACATGTATTTTTGCTTTCCGTTTTATTATATCCAGAGCGATCACCTTTTTGTTTGGCATGTTGTTGACCATTTCCTTTTCTCTCGATTGATTGGCCTCTTGATCAGTTTGTACAAATCTTCTAGGCTCCCATTTAATCAGGATGATAAAGTTTAAAGCTGAAAATAGATGCATATTCCAGAAGAGATATAAGATGAACACGACATCAAAATTCACTTTAGGAGACACATTGTGCAACACATTGTCTATTTTATTTCCTCCACAGTTTCTCCCTTTCCACTTTTTCATTATGCAAGTCAACATTACTACTGCAGATTTTTCCTCCCATGAGAGATTCTTGTCATCAAGAGAATGTTCAAATCTGCGCTCTTACGGTAGACTTCAAAGAGTTAGCAGGACCCACTGAAAGTGTCTCCATCTTCATACTTTGTAGATATCTCAAACACTCTAAGCTTGACCCGGCTTCTACAATTTCCATTGACCCTTTAGCATCGTCCGTCATCTTCAATGCTTCAATTGCTTCAATGCATATAATAATTCACCAACAATGGCTTTGTAATAGTCAATGTCTTTTGAGAGGTGATAATCAACCTAAACATGCCTATCAAAAAATATAAAAAGAAACACTTGAATCGAAGCAACCAGCAAAATATACGCAGAAGAATTAAAAATAGAGTGGGACTCACCGGGTTTGTATTTGTTTTTTTTCTAACGGACTCACCGGGTTAAAAGCAGAGATTTTGGTAGTGAGCTGAGTCACTGGACGAAGACATTATAGACTCTCCAAATTTCAATCCACTTGTGTCAGGTGAATCTTAAAAAGTGAGCTACAAGTTGCTTATATAATGGGAATTTTTGATAAAAACTGAACGCTTCTATTAAGGAGAATATAGAGAAGCAAACTATTACAAATAAGATCTGAGAACCCAAAAATAAAAACAATCCTTGAGTACTAGAACAATCTAAACCATGTTTTATGGACTTGTAGCATTCACCTACGTTATATCC